CATAAATTCCTGAAGGTGAAATTGCTTCAACAAAGGATGTGCCCTTTATGAACATTTTTTATATGTATTTCCATAATAGTTGTACAAGTTTATATATCCCCTAGCAATTTTAGAATGTCCATTCTACCAGCTGATAATTCATGAAAGAAACCTCTCCCTGAGTTATGTGAGGAAGGGAAATATAAGGTTGAGTGACGTAAGAAAATATTTGAGTCCCTAAATCATACTGCTTAGTCTTTGTTGTCATTGTTAATTTTATTCAAGAAAGAATAGTTATCTTTTAGTTTGTTATTTCCTTTATATTATATAGTTTTATATTAGTGTATTGTCTGACTCTGTCATCTCTCCTTCAACAGAATGTTGTATATCTAAATCACTTATCAATTTGCAGGAAGACATTGCATGGTCTACACTTGTGAAGTTGTTTGATCCTGTGAAATCTCCTAGATGTTATGCTGTCATTGCTCTTAAGAAGCAACAATGATCCAAGTTCAAGCAAGTCATTATCTACCGATAGGTGGAAACTGTTGCTAAAATTGCTTTTCTAAACATTATGCCATGTTATGTTAATACTTCAAAGTTATTATATATTTTATATTAAAAAATAAAATAGTGTCTAACAACATAATGCTAGTCCATTTCTCCATTGTGAAGTGTACATTAATAAAAACTAGTCAAAATACTATAAAAGGGCTAGCCTATTTTCCTCAATTATCACTTCAGTGTTGTTTTGTTGGTTGCCATCAATTCAGTCCCAACTCATGATGACCCCATCTGTGCAGAGAAACTGCACTGTACAGCGATTTTTCAAGGCTGCTTTTGGAAGCAGTGTACCCAGGCCTTATTTCTGAAGTGCCTTTGAGTGGGTTTGAACCACTAATGTTTTGACTAATAGGACATTGTAAATATGAGTCTTATTAGGCAGTGGTGGTTCACTGATAGAATTCTCGCCTTCTATGTGAGAGACCACGTTCAGTTCTTGGCCAGTGCATTCCATGCACAGCCACCACCTTGTTCATTGCTATTATGCTGCAAAAGGTGTCAGCAGAGCTTCCAGATTAAGGTGGACTAGGAAGAAAGGCCTGGCAGTCTACTTCCAGAAATCAGCCAATGAAAACACTGTGAGTCACAACAGTCAAATCCACAACATACCATGGAGTTGCAAGGCCAGGCAGTGTTTCATTCCATTGTGCATGATGCCAGGGGCCAACTCAACAGCAGCTAACATGAGCATTATTTCCTATTCAATATTTGAGACCTTTGATATTTCTACAATCACATTTTGACTTTTATTCACTTAAAAGCAAATGAAAGATAGAGATGTGGGCATGGTAAAAATTATTTGGTGCTGAAAATCAATGGCATTTTCCTCCACATTTCAAAAGAATTTTACATATTGACATAAATGGAAAATTCACATTTCAAGGGAAGCAGTACCCAGGAACCAGGCCAGTTATGAAACATGCCTAACATAAAGCTTGTTTACACTGTGAGTTAATCTAAGTTACATGATGTAATATACCATGTTCTTAAAGAAGTAATTCTTTTCCTTTGGAAAGGGACTTCAGTAATACTAACCTTCACTCAACTGCCATCAAGTCAATTCTGACTCATAGCAACTCCCATTGGGTTTCCAAGCTGTAAATCTCTTCAGTCTTTACAGAAGCAGACTACTTCATCTTTCTTCCGTGGAGCAGCTTATGGGTTCAAACAACCACCCTTTTGGTTAGCAGCTAAATGCCTTAACACCACCAGAGCTTCTAATATTAACCTTACCCATACCACACCGACTCGATGGCACATAACACCACCACCACACCTACTGCCATCAAGTCGAATCCAACTCATAGCGACCCCCATTGGGTTTCCAAGGCGGCAAATGTTTAGAGAAGTAGATTGCCTCATCTTCTGTGGAGCAGCTGATGGGTTTGAACCACTGACCTGGTTAACACCCAAATGCCTTACCCACTATGCCACCAGAGCTCCCAATATTCACCTTAAGAGTGAGATAATTATTCTTGCTAACTAAAGTGATGTTTTGGCACCTAACAGAATTACCTTGATCTGTGCAAAAAGCCAGTCTGAGTAAACCAAGAGTAAGTGGAAGGAGGCCAGCACTTTGCCCAGTTGTAATTAAGATTGTATGTGAACTTGGTTGGGCCGTGATTTTGACTGGCTTTGTAGCTGGATGTAGCTGTTCCCCATGATGACCTTGTATGTGGTATAATTACTGCTATGGGTAGAATCTACTGTAAGCAGCTAATTAATTAAAGGGGAGTTACCTTTGGGGTGTGGCCTACTTCCAGTGTATATGGAGAAGTTTTGGGAAAGGTTTATAGTTTTTTGGCTCATTTGGGATCCTGCATCTGGCCTGTCATCATCTCTAGTTCTTGGACTTGAACCAGTGGCCTGCTGTGTTGCCTGCTAATCTTAGGATTGTTGACTTCACAGCCTCTGAGCCAACAATCTGTTATACTGCCTGCCAGTCTTGAGTTCATCAGCACCTTCACCTTCGTGAGTCACAAAAACGGTATACCTTGCACCAGTGGGCCCGGAAGGCAGAGCTGAAGCCCCAGGTCAAGGGGCTTCCACACAGAATCCAAAGAGCTGACACTCTGAACTTGGATTTCTAGCCTCTCAAACTGTAAAAGAATACATTTCTGTTTGGTAAAGCCATCCACTTGTATTTCTATTACAGCAGCATGAGAGAACTAAGAGAGAGAACTAAGACACTAGTGTAATGAATGTTCCTTTCGTTAGCAGAAAACTTGAAATTCCTGATACACACAGAAGAGATTGAGAGCACGGTTAGAGCTTCCTTGATGCTGGAGACACTGTATAAAATTTTTCTAAGCAGACAAAGTTACTGCTTTCTTAAATTTTAAAATCTGTTCACAGATTAAAAGAATAATTGTTTTTCCCTAGGTTGTGATATTAATACAGAGTTTGCAATCAATGTGTATGTGAATGATCAAGTACTTTGCACAGCTAGTACAATCCTGGGAATACAAGGCATTTTTTAAAAGTTTTTATTGTGGAAAATTTCAAGCATATTCAGAGGTAGACAGTAAAGTATAATGAATCCTCGTGTACACAACTCAAATTTCAATGATGATGAACACTTGACCAATCTTGCTTTCTCTGTATACACATGAGTGCCTACACACACACATACTCACCCACACCTACCACCTTGGGAGTGCTTTAAAGCAAATCTCAGTCTAATAATTAAGGACTTTTTCTTTAGTAACATCCATTACTTGACTTCATTTAAATTTCCCTATGTTGTTGTTGTTGTTATGTGCCATCGAGTCAGACCTGACTCATAGCGACCCCTCCTTGGGTTTCCAAGTATCACTACAGAAGTAGATTGCCCCATCTTCCTTCCGAGGAGTGGCTGGTGGGTTTGAACCGCCAGGCTTCTGGTTAGCAGTAAAATGCCTTAGGCACTATGCTACCAGAGCAAATTTCCCTATAGGCACCATGAAAAAACAAATTGTTTATATAAATTTGTTCAATTCAGAATCCAAAGAAGGTTCACATAGTTGCATTTGAGTATTTCCCTTAAAAATTCTTTTAATATATAACAGCTTTTACTCCTTCTTTTTATTTCATACCATTTTTAGCTTAAAGAAACCGGGTCATTTATCTTACTGAATTTTCCAATTCTGAACTTATCTGATTGGACAGTCAGAGTTGTGATACACAGGGATTTCACTGGCTAATTTCCAGAAGCAGATCACCAGCCTTTCTCCTAGTCTGTCTTAGTCTGGAAACTCTGCAGAAACCTGGCCACCATAGGTAACCCTACTGGTATTTTAAATGCCAGTGGCATCTCTTCCAGAATTATAGCAACACATAATACACCACAGTACAGCAGACTGACAGACAAGTGGTAGCGAAGAATATTGAATATATTGTAGACTGCCAGAACAAGCAAATCAATCTTAGAAGAAATACAACCAGGATGTTCCTAAGAGAGGATTGTGAGACTTTGACTCCCTTATGTTGGACACATCATCAGGAAAGGCCAATCGCTGGAAAATACATCATGTTTGGTAAAGGGCCAGCCAAAACTAGGGAAACGTGCAATGAGATGGGTTGACAAAATAGTTGAAACAGACTCACAATCATGAAGATGATGCAAGACAGGGTGATACTTTGTCTGTTACACACAGGGTTGCCATGAGTCAGAACTGCCCCCACAGCAACTTACAGTCATCCTAATGCCATATAATACACCTGTCTATCCCAAATAGAGGCGCCCTTTTAGCATACTGATTAAGCACTCACTGCTAACTGAAAGGTCAGCAGTACAAATCTGCTCCATGGGAGAAAGATGTAGCAGTCTGCTTCTGCAGAGATTTATAGCCTTGGAAACCCTATGAGGTACCCTCTCCTACAGGGTCATTATGAATCAGAGTAGACTGGATGGGAACAGGTTTGGCTTTTGGTTTATCCCAAATATTTTCTTTAACTAATACTTAGATCTAGAAATTTGATTACATTCAGGTTGTTTTTGTATGTTTCTTTTTGTCTTTTGGTAAAATGCTTCATAGTGGTATTGCCCATTGCATCACCTCAGGAGGCACAAAATGTTTGGCTGTCCCACATTTAGGGGTACTGAGCTTGATCACGGGCTTCAGTTACTGTGCACCTAATTTATCCAGTATAAGGTTCCTTGTCAGCCTTTCTCTCAATAATATTACCAGTCATTGTTGTTAGGCGCTGCTTACTCTTAGTGACCCTCCATAATCTTGTTGAGGGTCTTCCTCTTTTTTGCTGACCCTCTACTTTCCCAACCATGATATCCTTCTCCAGGGAATGGTCCCTCCTGATAACATGACCAAAGTAGGAGAGTCAATGTGTTGCCACTCTTGCTCCTAAAGAACATTCCGGCTATACTTCTTCCAAGACACATTTGTTCCTTTTTCAGGCAGCCCATGGTCTATTCAGTGTTCTTCACCAGCACCGTAATTCAGATGTGTCAGTTCTTCTGTGATCATCCTTATTTATTGTCCAGCTTTAATATGCATATGAAGTGATTGGAAATACCATGACTTAAGTGCACCTTAGTCCACAAAGTGACATCTTTGCTTTTTAATACTTCAAAGAAGTCTTTTGCAGCAGATTTCCCCAATTAAATACATCATTTGATTTCTTGACTACTGCTTCCATGATTATGCATTCAAGTAAAATGAAATCCTTGACCACTTTAATCTTTTCTTTCTTCATCTTCATGATGTTGCTTATTAGTCCAGTTGTGAGAATGTTTGCTTTCTCAGTGTTGATGTGTAATCCATACTGAAGCCTGTAGTCTTTGATCTTCATCAGAAGTTCTTCAAATCCTCTTTGCTTTCGGCAAGCAAGGTTGTTCATCTGCATATCACAGGTTGGTAATGTCTTCTTCCAATCCAGTCATTAACAGTGAATAAGAACAAGAAGAATGAAAGAAAAGAACCATACACTATGAATTGATTTGTC